CATTATTTTGTACATAAAAGTATGAAGGTAAGATAATCGAAAAATGAATGGTTTACTAGATATTTTATGGTTTATGTAAAATTAAGAAATTATTTCAACCCTCATAACTCGCAAAGTACTTAATAAAAATGAACATTATTATAGTGTTTTGGAAAGCTCTTGAATTAAGCTATAAGAATATGCAATCAAATGTAGGGGGTGTCATTTAAAAAAGTCAATGTGACCTTGACCTGACCTTGACGACGCCATCCAAGGTCAAACTGATAGAATCAGTATATAGATCTTCTTAAACCCTACAACTTTTGTTGGAAACACTTTTCTGTAAAACGTATATTTTCCGAGATATTTAGGGGTTTCCACACTTTTGGTAGACCCTGTATATATATTTGTGATATCAAACGATATATATATATATATATATTTGTGATAACTATTTTCATAAGAATTTTGTAATTAAATAATATCGTAAAATATATTTTTTGACTATTTTTATATGAATTTTGTAACTAAATAATATTGTAAAATATATTTTTTGATCCTCACATATATCGGTGTACATATTTATATATCCCTAAGTTTTAATTATAAGCAAAGTTATCTGATTATTCCTTTAACAAAATTACGTGAAAGTGCTTTAAATTTTTTTTAAACAATGAAATAATCGATCATGCAAAAATTTGCGAGTCTCTATTTTAAATAAAGTTTTGATTAACAACGGAAATATATATGTAATAATTGGATTAATAAGATTTTACTCTCATCGCTCTAATCATTTAAAATTCGATGATAGGAGTAATCAATTATAAAGAAAGGCAAGAAGAAACAAACTGATGCGTTCACTTGATTTCTTATTGTTAGTATGTGATGGAGATTCATTTTATTACGCATAACGTAACGCTCATATTATAATTTTATTGATCTATTGTATTTCAGTACTATGCTTAATTTTGAAAGTTGCGATAATTTTTACAATTAGATGAGAGTAATAAGGAAAGTTCGTTGAACTCTTAACTTTGCACAAAAGAATTCTTAAAAATACGTACAAATTTCAATGTTTTTTATTTTTTTTGTCATATATTGGGATTCTAAAAAGAAAAATTTTAAAAGTGAGATATTAATAGGGGAAGAATTCAAGGAGTTCAAGGATGCATCACTTTCTCTTCTTTCCTTCTGAGAGAATTGTTACAACACAATGAAACTATATAGATATATAAATAATTATTTTCAATTATCTCATATGATTTTATTGTTTGTTTTCTCCCTATTTTCAACAATATTTGCGTATCTATTACATATATATATATATATATATATATATATATATATTATTCTATAAATACTGTTATATCGTATTTATTCAAATGCATTACGAGATAAAGTTGTTCATCCAACCTGTTCATCCAACGAAACGATATTCTTTTGCACAAAGAAAAAGAAATAAAAGAAAAACAAATGAAAAAATATTGCTATTATAGTTATTATTGAATATGTATCAGACTATCTTCGTTTTGATAAAAGTTCAAAAGTCAAGCAAATTAATTTTTGGAAATTAAAATTGATTGTTTCGATAGTTTTTCGATATTAAAAATCACGAAAATGTCGTATTTTGTTTAAAAATATATTTGTTTTTATAAAAGTTATTTTTTTTTTAAATTAAGAGTTTTCTGATATTCTACGTTGTCATGTTTTATATTCTCAAATATACAATAAAAAAAACAATGTTCATATTTTTATAAAGCATATCTTTGTAAACTTTGATAACATTTTTGTTACATTTTATTTTTAATTTGTTTTATGTCTTGTTTTCGCTTTGAAAAATCAAGCTTTGAACGAAAATAGGTAGGAGAATAATAGATTCGTTTATATTATGCAGATTCTCAAACGCAAATAATTAGATTATATTGATACAAGCAAAAAATTCTTAACATTTGCAGCGGAGTCATTAGTTTGGGTAATTATTATTCAATTCAATTATTTTTATTTTTACTCGACGAGACAGTAATGACAACATTATCTATCTTAACATTTAAATAATGAAACATAAAAGTAATTAAATAATAAATGTTACGAATTTCAGCGGCCTAATAATTTTCAACGCGTTTTAATATTTTAGAGTGTCGTGCTGGATATTTGTAAAAAATTATTTAAATAATTACTAAAATTATTAAAATTAAAATTACTAAAATTAAAAAATTATTTAAAAAAATACTAATGGAACTTTACGTAAAAATGTTTCTAAAGGAGAGAACTTGTATACAATTGTCGAGAACTGGCGTAGAAACTACGGAAAATCATCAGCACGACACATTTTCACTAATTATAAGTGTCGTGCTGCTGGTCGATTAAATTATTTAAAATTATTAATTATTGAAATATCGGTTTGATATTTGCATATGTAGGTTGAACTTGAACAGAACTATCGGAAACTCTTCACAGACACATAAATATAATAATTATTTTGCAAATCACATTAATAATACACATACATGATATAATTATTATTACTCAAAAAGGTTATCTCGATTTTCGATGTATTTTGTTATCACTTCAATGCTTATAAATTTGGGAGATTATTTCAAATTAGAATGTGGTTTTTCTTTAATATACATTATACACGACATCCACCTGAGGGAGGAATAAATTTTCTTGTTTGTAAAACAAGAAAAACATAGTTGCGCAAGTTAACTTAACTTACTTGCGCGCCGAAAGAAGCTACATATTTATGAGAAGAACGATGATGCTCGTTTATTTCGGTGACGTTAGTGGACGTTAAATAAATTTCCGAGGTAGTCGTTTACGTCGCTACGACGAAGGATGGAATGAATTACATCTGTTTTAGAATCAGTCCTCGAAAAAAGACTTGGAGGAGACGCAAAAAAGGACGCGAACAGTAGCAGTAAGGGAGACGAAAGACGACCGTGCTCGTTACGGAGATTTAATTAAATTGTTTCAAAAGTGGCATGGTTAAGCGAACCTTCGTATGATACCCTTGAGACTGATTAATTAAAATCCCGGAATCGAAAAATAGAACTAATGATTCCTACGATCACCATTGTTAGGAACGCGAAAGGATATAATGATTCATAATCCTCTCGCCTGACTCTTACGCGATCGTAAATGATAAGCCGCAGTGCCTTTCTGGGACACTTAATTACGTGCCCATCCGAGAGAAGTTTGGCGTGAACTCGCCTACTAATGGCTACCAATCCGAGTGTCACTTAAAATAAATCGCATAACTCCTTCCCGATCTTGTTAATTAAGTTTCAATTTAATTTAATTTATGAGTCATTACTTTTCGATTCCTTCCGCTCAAATTTTTACACAGTAAAAAATTTTGTGTTAAATTTAACATATTTCACATGTCCCAATTTATCCACTCTAATTTTAATGTTAATTAACAGAAGGCAAGTATGTAAATAAATAACTCAAGTAATAGGTTTTAAAAATTAACACGAAGTGTAACACTTAAACTTTATCTGGAAATAAAGTTTATGTTAAATTAACATATTTATAATGTTAAATTTAATTAAAAGAAATGTTATTTTTACATTTTTATGATAAATAACAGAAGAGATATGTCGACTTAAATATGGAAACTGTTATAGAGAGAAAAATAACACAATTTATCTGTTCATTTTAACATATAACATATTTCATGCAAAAATTCGTGCATTTACATATTAATTATGTTGTTTTAACTCTCTAGAAACGGTAAATATTAACTCAACGCAGAAATGTAAAATAACACACGATAATATGAACATAAGAGTATGTTAAAAATTTAACAACAAAAATTTTTTACAGGTAAAATTTAACAGACAATACAAATGTTTTTTTATCGTAGTATGCCATATTCAGAATCCACCTCGACGTCATATTTAAGTTAAGCGAAATGCATAAAGCAAGGTGCTAATAAATCGTAACAATTCATCAATATTTATTTCATCGTCACGCATAATTTTTTTAAATATTTTTTGTGATTTAACATAAATAAATTTCTCTAAAAATTTCTCCTTAATAAAATCACGTAAAAAACGTATATAATGAAGTACATGGAGATATTATACAAAGTATTTTTATTGTTGAAAATAAAAAATAAGTTTACATACAGTACCATTTCTTTTTCGTCTTTATTTAATTCATTTTATATAATTATGTTTGTTTCCACCTACTATTCTTTTTATCGTACAATGCTAGCGTCATTGCAAAAAAAGCAAACAACACTTAAGAGGAAATGTGAGTTCGTTGTAAAAATGTGGCGGCACTTTGGCTGATTAATCGCGTTAGGCCGGGCTACTATTAATATTCCTCAACATAATTGAATTCCTCTTATTTTATTTGTGATTTCTCCACGTTCGCGCTAACCACCAGAACCGGCAGCAATGCGAAATTTCGTGTTTTTACGCCATGTTTGTAAAGTCGACGATGAAGGCGTGTTTAAACCCATCCACGATCGCATTTGCGAGATTAAACCAACTCTTATAGAAATAATCTCAATTCCCGTAAATGTACGTGGTTTGGGTCAAGAGTCGCAGAAGATGCGTCTTGTGCAGAACGATGCGGTTTAAGATTTCTCAAATCNACGCACGTATTATTCAAAACGAAGCAAAGTTTACTTTCAGCGAAAGTCAAGATTAAATGTAGAGTGAACTTAGCTTCGCCTTGTAACAAACATGCGTGAACACAATAGGTTTAAGCCCTCCTCACAGAGGGTTTCATTTTCGTAAAATATAACTTAAACCTATTTCTGGTTTGAGTTACTCTATATAATTAAAATTTTTTGCACCGTGCTTTCAAATTGTACAAAATAGAAACTTTTTTTTGGGGAAAAAAAGGGGAAAAAGGGACGGAATCCTTTTTTCTATTCACACGTTTCATTTACTACACATAAATGAATGAATCAAGTACAGATTCATTTTGTGAAATGTACAAAATATCCGAAAATTACGTGAAAAACTTTGATTATAACTTAAAAAAAGAACGGTTAAAAGTTTTTGGGGATCACTCAGGTTAATGACAATATATGTCAATATCAAAGTCGTTAGATAAGTTATAATAAATATTTCTCCAGAACTTGGTGCGAAAGCCGGAGCAGGATTAGGTAAATATTTATTCTAACCAGCAATGACTTTAATCTTGACACATGCTGTCAAAGCCACTACCTTGAGTGACTGCCAAAAAATTTTCGCTCGTTGTTTATTAAAAAATTATAAACAAAAAAGTTTCATGAATTTCACGTAATTTTTTATCATATACGTTCATAAAATGAATTTCTACCTCATTTATTCGTTCACGTGTAGTAAGTGAAACGCGTGAGTAAAGAAAGGGTTCCGGCTCGTTCTTTCCCTTTGAAAAAAAGTTTCTGTTTTGTACAATTTGAAAGCACGGTGCAAAAAATTTTAATTATATAAAGTAACTCAAACTATATAGGTTTAAGTTATATTTTACGGAAGTGAAACCCTCTGTGAAGAGAGCTTGAACTTATTGTATTCACCCATGTTTGGGTATAGATTCATTTTGTGAAATGTACAAAATATTCGAAAATTAGGTGAAACACTTTGATTATAACTTAAAAAAAAAAACGGTTATAAGTTTTTGGGGATCACTCATAGTAATGAAAATATATGTCAAGATCAAAGTCGTTAGATAAGTTAAAATAAATATTAATACAAGTTAAAATAAATATTTCCCTAGGATTTGGTATGGACGCTGGAGCAAGATTTGATAAATGTTTACTTTAATCTACCAGCAATGACTTTAATCTTGACACATGTTGTCAAAGCCACTACCTTGTGTGACCTCCAAAACGTTTTCGCTCGTTGTTTATTAAAAAATTATAAAGATAAAAGTTTTATGAATTTCACGTTATTTTTAATCATATACGTTGATAAAATGAATTTTTATGGATTCTCTGATTTATTCATTCATATGTAGTAAATGAAATACGTGGGCTTTGTCCCTCTCTCTCCGCATCCCCAACCTGAAAAAGATCTAACACAAAGCTATTTTTTATTTAAAATCTAAATTAAGTTTGAATTAGATTATATTTTCCGAAAGATGACCCTGTAGGAACCTATTGTGTACGCATGTACTCGTATTTTTGTAATAAACAACGATTAAATTTTCTGTGGGTTACTCAGGGTAGTGATCTTCATAATATATGTCAATATCAAAGCCATTAGATGAATTAAATTAAATATTTATCCATATTTTATGGCGGGAGCAGGAGGGGAAGCAGGAGGAGGAGTAGAAGGGGGAGCAGAAGCTGGATTTGGTAAGTATTTACTTTAACTTATCTACTATCAATGACTTTGATCTTGACATATGTTGTCAAAACCACTATTCTGAGTGACCCTCAAACAATTTTCGCTCGTTATTTATTAAAAAGTTATAAATAAAAAAAGTTTTACGCATTTCACGTAATTTTCGGACATATACGTTTCATAAAATAAATTTCTACCCGATTCATTCATTCATGTGCAGTAAGTGAACCGTGTGGGCTTCGCTCCTCTCCTTACACACACCCCATTCCTCAAAAACTAATCTAATCCAAAGCTACTTTTTATTTAAAATCGAAATTAGGTTTGGGTTAGATTATATCTTCCGAAAGTTGACTTCCCCCGTAGGGAAAAGAGAACATACTGTGTCCACGCATGTATTTTTCAAAACGAAGCAAAGTTCACTTTCAGCGAGTGCCAAGATTAAACGTAGAGTGAACTTAGCTTCGCCTTGTAACAAACATGTGTGAACACAATAGGTTCAAGTCCTCCTCAGAGGGTTTCACTTCCGTAAAATATAACTTAAACCTATTTCTGGTTTGAGTTACTTTATATAATTAAAATTTTTTGCACCGTGCTTTCAAATTGTACAAAGCGGAAACTTTTTTTCGAAGGGAAAGAAAGAGACGGAACGCTTTTTCTACTGACACGTTTCACTTACTATACATAATCGAATAAATCAGGTACAGATTCATTTTGTGAAATGTACAAAATATTCGAAAATTACGTGAAACACTTTGATTATAACTTAAAAAAAAAGAACGGTTAAAAGTTTTTTGGGGATCACTCAGGGTAATGACAATATCAAAGACACAATGTCAGGATCATAGTCGTTCGATAAGTTAAAATAAATATTAATATAAGTTAAAATAAATATTTTTCCAGGATTTGGCATGAACGGCGGAGCAGGTTTTGATAAATATTTACTTTAATCTACCAGCAATGATTTTTAATCTTGCTATATGTTATTGAAGCCACCACACCCAAAAATTTTTCACTCGCTTATTAAAAAATGATAAAAATAGATTTATTTTATGAAATGTACATAATATCCGAAAATTACATAAAATTCATGAAATCTTCCTGTTTAATAAAAAACAACAATTAAGTTTTCCGGGGGTCACTCAGGGTAGTGACTTTGACAATATATGTCAAGATCAAAGCTATAGATAAGTTAAAATAAATATTTATCCAGAAATTATGGGGGAAGCAGAAGGGCAAATAGGAGGGGGATTTGGTAAATATTTACTTTAACTTACCCACCAGCAATGACTTTGATCTTTACAGATGTTATCAAAGCTACTATCCTGAGTGACCTCCAAAAAGTTCTCGCTCGTTGTTTTTAAAAAAATTATAAACAAAAAAAGTTTTATGAATTTCACGTAATTTTTGATCATATACGTTCATAAAATGAATTTCTACCTAATTCATTCATTCATGTGTAGTAATAAGAAGTGGCTTCATCCCTTTCCCTCCATCTCTATCCTGAAAAAGACTAATCTAACCCAAAACTTCTTTTTATTTGAAATCAAAATTAAGTTTGAGTTAAATTATATATTCTGGAAGTTGATCTCCCCCGTAGGGAATAGAGAGTCTACTGTGTCCACGCATGTATTTTTCAAAACGAAGCAAAGTTCACTTTCAGCGAGAATCAAGATTAAATGTAGAGTGAACTTAGCTTCGTTTTTTAAAAAACATGCGTGAATACAATAGGTTCAATCTCCTTATAGAGGCTTCAACCTCCTTATAGAGGGTTCCATTTTCGTAAAATATAATTTAACCCTTTCTTTCTAGTTTGAATTACTTTATATAATTAAAATTTTTTGCACCGTGCTTTCAAATTGTACAAAACGGAAACTTTTTTTCGAAGAGAAAAAAAGAGACGGAATTCTTCCTCTATTCACGCGTTTCACTTATTATACATAAACGAATGAATCAAGTACAGAATCATTTTGTTATATGTACAAAATATCCGAAAATTACGTGAAACACTTTGATTATAACTTAAAAAAATCGTTAAACATTTTTGAGGATCACTTAGGATAATGACAATATATGTCAAAATCAAAGTCATTAGATAAGTTAAAATAAATATTTATTCAGAATTATGGGGAGATTAGGAGAAGAAGCAGAAAAGCGAGCAGAATGGGCAGTAGGATGGACAGCAAGATGGGGAACAGAAAGAGGAACAGGATTGGGAACAGGAGGGGGAGCAGGATGGGGAGCAGGATGGGGAGCAGGAGAGCAAATAGGAGGGGAAATTGGTAAATATTTACTTTAACTTACCCACAGCAATGATTTTGATCTTTACATATGTTATCAAAGCCACTATTCTGAGTGACTTCCAAAAAGTTCTCGCTCGTTGTTTATTAAAAAATTGTAAACAATATATGTCAAGATCAAAGCCATTAGGTAAGTTAGAATAAATATTTATCCAGAATTTATGAAGGATAAGGAGGGAGACCAGAAGGGGGAGCAGGATGAGGAGACGGATGGGGAGTAGGAGAGCAAATAGGAGGGGAATTTGATAAATAATTTAACTTATTGACCAGCAATGACTTTGATCTTTACATATGTTATCAAAGCCACTATCCTGAGTGATCTCCAAAAAGTTCTCGCTCGTTGTTTATTAAAAACTTATAAACAAAAAAAGTTTCATGAATTTCACGTAATTTTTGATCATATACATTTATAAAATAAATTTCTACCTGATTCATTCATTCATGTGTAGTAATGTGAAGTGGCTTCATCCTTTTCTCTCCATCCCCATCCTGAAGAAGACTAATCTAACTCAAAGCTATGTTTTATTTAAAATCAAAATTAAGTCTGGGTTAGATTATATCTTACGGAAGTTGATCTCCCCCGTAGGGAAAAGAGAATATACTGTGTCCACGCATGTATTTTCTAAAACGAAGAAAAGTTCTCAGCAAGAATCAAGATTATAGAGTAAATTTCGCTTTTTGCAAAGAACATGCGTAGAAAATGAGTTCCGACTCCCCTTATGAGCGGCTCCGTTTCAGAAGATATGACCTAACTTAAACTTATAACTTAAGATATAATCTTACTATTTCTGATTTACAACTAAAATTTTTGGTTTCGATTACTTTATATAGTTCAAATATTTTACATCGTACTTTCAAATTGTACAAAACGAAAACTTTTTTTCGAAGGGGTGGAGAGAAAGGAACAGAGCCTCTTTTCTACTCACGCGTTTTATGTACTACACATAAACGAATGAATTAGATAGAGATTCATTTTGTGAAATGTACATATACGAAAATTACATAAAATTCGTAAAATTTTTTTGTTTATAACTTTTTAATAAATAACGAATAGATTAAAACTTTTTAAGAATCTTTCAGAGTAGTGACAACATAGTCAAGATTAAAATCGTTGAGTAAGTTAAAGTAAATGTTCACCCAAAATTTAATGTAGGTGGAAGTATGGGAGGAGGAGCACAAGGAGGCCGCAAATAATGATCATGAGAATCATAAGGATCATCGTACAATGAATTTTATGCTCTTTAGGTAAACATTTCTTAAATTGTAATGTGATTCATTAGTGAATTATAAAGTTTGATTATAAAGTGAATTTTATAAGTCGCGCTTAACAGTTTATTTGTTATATGTATATACTTTCTATTTAAGAAAATTATGCGCTTTTATTTCAATAATTATTTAATAATTAATTATTATCAACAAAATAATTAATAACAATAAAATTATATAGTTGATATGTAGCTTCTTATTACATTTTTACTTCAAGAGTAACTGTAATATCGTATATTACTTACTCTTGAAGTAAAAATGTAATATCGAAATATTTAGCAGTTTACATTACGTTACATTTAGTATTTATATATAAGTCATGAGAGGAAATATATATATATACATATCACAATATATATAGTATAAAATCAAATATAATTACAATGTATACATATTATACATATATTTACACATGCGTTACATGTGTATATGTATACATAGAATACAGAGTATATAAATAGATGTGATTATCGATATATAAACAAGTTTAACATTAAAAAAAATATATTTATTAAAAATGAATTACAACAGATTTATATTAATTTAATTTATTATTAATTTTATATATATTTTGTAGGTTTCTGGATAGATATGGATATTGAAGCCTATCATTATAAGATAGATAAAAATGATTTAGATTTCACTCCGCACTTTGACGTCTTTATTAGATTGTTTTGCACACTCAAGAACCCCGATGGTTTTAAAATAAAACTTAGCACTCTGCAAAATACTTATTGTATTTATTGTTTTTATTTCATTCATTTTATCCCATTCATTTTATCCCATTCATATCCTTAATAAAATCGAAATAAAACGAAATAAATCGAAATAAATAGCTTTTTGAAATGAAAGCTTTTTAATTTTGATGTATATTTGTATAACGTATTTTTCGTTATTAAATTTTTTCGTTTTTACTAATAAAAATAATTTTTTTTATATATTAAAATAAATACAGAGTGTATGTATATATTTAATGTGTTTCTAACGTATTTTAATAAATATAATCCGGATTATATCCCATATTATATATTTTACTGTTCAGTAAGTAGTCCAAAAAAAGGAACAGAACATATTTATGTACATTTAAAATAAATTGTTGAAGAACAAAAACTGCGCAATTCTCAAAAATATCTCAGAAGGTTAAGAACATATTTATCAGAGAGAGAATATTTGTCGCGTTACTGACTTTAATAATCTTATACATAATTTTACACGCAACGCACATATTAACAATAATAAACGCAATGTAAATGAATAAAAGATGAAAAAAATGTACTCACATGAACGACGTTTTGTCATTGTTATCCTGTTCCTTCGCCTTTAATCACATCGTCGAATCTGTTCCATCGCCTTTAGTCACATCGTCGAATCCGTCCCATCGCCTTTAGTCATGTCGTTGAATCCTTTTCATTCATTCTTTTTTTACACACTCACTTATATCGCGATACAAAACGCGAGCGAAACAGGTAAAGAACAATTACGGAACATAATTATCAAACTCCCACATTTCAACACTTATGACTTCATTAAATTGTCGAAAATGTAGATCTAAAGTTGTTTATTGACTCGAATTTTTTGGTTAAAGAGAAAATTTTCGCGTAGAAAGTTTCGTGTACACCGGTTGTTTCTCATTCGTTGGATTATATCGACTGTCAGGTTTCTCGAGAGATAATCGAGACATTATGTGACAGTAAGAAACGAGGAAGACATGTGTCGCGAAACATAAGTGACAGGTACGTTTCGGCGAAGATACGTCGGTGCGAAATTCACTTCTAAAATTCATTATATTATCCGAGAATCTTCAAAATTGATGCACACATTTACATAACGTTAAATATTTTTAATATAAGATATTCAACTTTTGTCAAAACAAAATCTTTGTTTGAACTTTCATGTAGCTTTATCATACAAATGATTGTCGGGAATATCGAATTAATTGACGATAATTAATCGATTTTTTAATTCGGCTAAATAATACGATATTTTCCGTGTTAAATCGATAGTATTAATGGATAAATAATCTCAAATTTACTCGTAATTGATCATGTTTAATGCCTCTCAATATTTATCGGTATATTTTGTAAAATAATTTAACGACACGGAGCGCTTTGCTTTCGCGAATAAATTAACTATGTATTTGGAAATTATGACACAGAGTATCGATTTTCGATTTATGAATCGTATAAACCTGTCGTATATATCTGGATATGCGTAAATCAAGCTAGCACGTCGCGAGAAAATCGTTTTTTTTTAAATATCTTGTATGCAGATTAATTTATAATAAATTATCAATAAATTCTTGTTGTTAAGATCTTAATGTATTATTTTTTAAATAATTTATATTTGAATAGAATAAGAACGAAGTTATGTATTAATATATTTAACATTGTTAAATATATTATCGATCGTTATCGATCGTTAGTTTTAATCACTCATTTGTTGATTACATTTTTCATCATTTATATTACTCGTTGTAGAACTAATTAATGTTCTTTACAAGACTTTGAATTTCTCGCCGTATCACGAGACTGGTAATAATAGACTGGTAATAATAGACCTTCGTACTGACAATTAAAACACTAGATATCATCAAAGTAAGAAAAATAAGAAATAAAAATAGTAATCTATGACTGACAAGGTCATCAAAATAATAAAAAAAAATGTTTTAAAATCTCCATTATCATATTTA